AGTAAATTGGTCAAGTAGTTTTTGAGAATTTCTAATTGTTTATCCCAAAACACCTGTTTTCCGGCCACCACTATTAGTTGATTGAGAAATATACAGTGTTAGTTCAAAAGACATTTTATGGTAATATGCACTAGTTTACCTTGCCGATATAAATCGCAAACCATTCGGGAAGATGAATGTTATTTTTATGCGAAAATGAATGGGTTACATTTTTTCTTCTAAACAAATTCAAACATTTCGTATTTGTGAGTAATTCGCAACGAAAGATGACAGACACATCCACTTAATTTTGAAATATGTATAGCAACGTACGTTTTTCGAATATCGTAGCACATTTGTTCAATTACTCACAAACACGAAATGTTTATATGCATTTGTTTAGAAGAAAGAAACGTAACGTTTGTTTTTCGCATAAAAATAACATTTATCTTTCAGAATGGGTTATGTAAGCACGTGTATTTTGCTATTAAATGATCTTTGAACGAGCCCTGTACATTTCTCAATCAACTAGTACTGATGGTCGGAGAACAGGTGTTTTGGGTTAAGAAATTAGAAATTCTCAAAAACTACTTGACCATTATATTCTGATTTTGTTGTTATTGAGAAGTTTGAATCCTACGGATTCGAAGAATTTCAAGTAGTTGCATGAAATTATCGTGTGCTAAAACCTTAACTTTTGCTTCGTTTTTCGGCCACAACATTTTTGCTATTAGTCGGATCCTTGGATCTTTTCACGTGCGGCCTCATTTTGTAGGCCTCATGAATACCTACAGATCTTATTGGAAAGTATTTCGCTCCTGTCTACACTTTCGATTGAATCCCAAAAAACACGCTTTCTCATTCTTCGTTATCGAATAAAAAGTTTTCCCACCCAAATCGGTGTACCCATTTTATACGTCCATGTTTTAAATACCCCCTTAAACAACTTGCACTGATAAAACTAGACTTTACAATTATTTCGGAGAAATTTGCTAATATGATTAGTCTATTACTGCTGTGCAAAATTAGGAATATTATCTTTGGACTCCCTAATGTTTTAGTGATAAAAGATCGTACTTGATGCGATGGATCTTACGAGTACTCCACATGCTTCTATTAGTGCTTCGGAATTTCAATTCAAAAATAAAATACATAGGTCAAGTACCGTGAACCGCTTCATCTGAAACCAAATAAAATAAATCTACAACATTTGTGTTTCTATGGCAAAAAAGTGAGTGTGACTATTACGTGTGATGGTAACAGAAGGTCCTCAATATTAGGACTTCTTCCATTTTTAGCCAATAGCTGTCACACCACAACTTAGTGTCGTCCTTGGAATCAACAAAATCCGGAGAGTGCTTTGAAATTATACAGGGACCAAAGATTAGCAGACACACTTGTCATGAAACATCCAAAGACCGTAACTTATATTCAAAGTTTTAAGTTGGAATTAATACGTAAACTCTGAATTTTTTTCTTCGCATGTCCTTCGCGCTTAGATGTAGAAAATAGAGCAACTCGCCCAATAATTAAGTGAATTTACTTATCGCTAATGGTCCTCAAATTCCCGTTCTCAAACAAAAGCACCCAAATCGTGATACCTTTTTAAACGATTAATTCCAAAACTCCACGCTTGGCGCAAGTAATAAAGCCCGGGGAATTTCAGAAACCTCTGCAGATCCCTCCTTTGTATCTGATGCTAAATCGATAATTAATCTGAAAATACAAATGAAGTCGGCTTTAAATGGCTCACATAAAAAAGAGCGTAGTGATCCCTGATTGGAAAACGGTGCTAGAGACTGTGCGTGAAGAAATTTGAGATAGTAATGCAGGAAGTAATCAATTTCTTCTTTTCATTTTCATCTTATTATTTGCTAGCCGTTCCTTCGCACGCTTAAAATTGTTAATATAACTAAATCCTGGACATTAACGCATTAGATTAAACCATTTACATTGTATTAAATACCTCTCTGCCTGGTCTCTAGTCAAAAAAGGGAAATATATATAAATTGAGAAAGGCTTTTTTACCCATGCCACAACATCAAGATCCAGTTTAAATCTACTCTATCTTTAGAGTGTTGCAAATTTCAGGTATCTAGTAGGATCTTCAAATAAACTCGCGAATACACACTTTAACCCCCGTAATATGGTCTTGTTGCAAGGTCCGCTCTTGTCTGACATCTACTTTCCTGTCAAGTTATGTCATATTCATAAACTATGGATTCGCCCTAACTTGTAAATTCCTCTATCCATATTCTACTCATACCTTTCTAACAAATTTCAGGTTCATAGGCCAAATAAATTTGGACCAGCCATGCCACGAAATTCGTTCTGAGCTGGCATATGTTTTCCATAAATACTTCCTTGCTAAATTTTGTGTCCGTAGTCAAATAGCTTTTGAGGTAAATTTCTATAAACCCGACTTGAAATGTGATAAGTTTTTTTTAGACAAAATGTACTCCTTCTTGTAGGCTGGCGTAATTTGAAATATTCTACATTCTTCAGCCTCAAGAGTATTAGGTCTCGCTTCACCTCTTATGAGTGGAATTTTCTAATGCCCATTTATATTAAATTAAAGAACGAAATATACAGTATCCATATGTATATCTGTAGCTTAAAGAATAATAGTTACGCCGTAGTAGCTTTCACCCTCTATTCCAATCCCTCAAATTTTATTTACCCAACAAAGGGTACCCTATGTTGGTCAAGTTCATAAAAATATTATTAAGGCGCAGAGCAAACCTACACACTAGCAGAAGTTCAAGGTCTCAAAGACTCTGCTCCTTTTTTAGTGGTTAGAAGTGGAGATACTCCAGTTGATTTAAGCAGGTCCGAGTTTTTGTAGTTTTGAAAAGAAATAAGATAATAAATAAATACATTTTCAAAAACAAGCTTCCATTTAGCTGTTAAAGCTAACTAAGCATTCAGAAATATCTTTTTCCGATTGGAAATATGCTTTCTTAACGTTTAAACTATATGGAATCTTCTTGGTCTCAAAACATTAAATAAAAGCGTATATTTTAGAGCCACAGTAAGATACTTTAGTTTTCAATAATATGCAAATTTAGTTGCTGTCATAACAATCTAGATATTATGTCAGATTTGTGTCCATCTCTGTAACGTATCATTTTTCTGTAGTTTGAGAGACATCTTACAAGAAATCGACTACTATATTCATTAGATTCATTGCTTGAAAGACGCGTTCCTACTGGTTATATTTGTGTACCACGCCCCTTTTGCGCCCCAGCTTAGTAAAACCGGCTGTTAAAGGTGATGAATTTAAAATAAAGTCGCAGACAGTGTGTCTAGGAATCCACTTCCACAGGGCACTTCTCCGTCATCGGATATACGGATATAAGTATTAATGTCCTTATTGCGTTAATGAATTTGCGGGTAGGTGAGGGAAAACCTGAAAAAAATCGAGCATGACCAATTAGAGGATGAGTGGTTAAATCATCCGTATCTTGAAGGGGAAAAAAGCAGATGAAAAATGAAAGGGTGAAGAATTGGTTAAGAATTCACGATTTACGAGTGGATCCGAGGATCTTCTCGGACACAAGCTTTGTGTCCCTGCATGTCAAATATTAGGCCAAATTGAGCAACAGCACGCTCAGTGTGGGCATATCGGGGTAAAGAGGACCATTGCGTTTATTCAGAGGTCGTTTTACTGGGCAAAGGTATCTAAAGATATACGCAAGGTCATTTCGTCATGCGATCTTTGTAAAAAGTCTAAGGTCACAAAGCGTGTGGAATCGGCTACTATTATAACTGTTCTTTTGGTGTTCTTAGATTTAATGGGTCTGTCACCCAGGTCGCGAGGTGGGGTTACATATATTTTTCCTGTAGTCGATGGGTTTAGCCCTTTTGTTAAGTTATATGTAGTCAAGGGGGCTAACATTCGAGCTATTATTGATAAATTTGAGAGTGATTACGTCAATCATTTTAGTGTTCTCGAACGAATCTTGAGAGTTGTGGGAAAAGGATCTGAGGTCCGACCACATCAAAGTAAATCGTACTTTAGCATACTCTATGGAAGGGAACATAACTGGTGTACTGAGAAATAGGACAAGTATTGAGGGCTCTTTGTAGCGATTTTTGGATTTTCGTTTCTCATTTTCGGTTATCTCCGGAAATATTGCCCTTTTTTAGTTCACTAAATGCTTTGCCCATATTTAACCGACTTAGTATCTATTATCGTCCCAGAAATTCCTATGGTGAGACTCGAATTCAAAACATCCGGTATAAACTCAAGACATTGCGACCAAACGCCATCATAACGTCACAACTCCGAAAAAAACTTGAGGTCAGATTAGCGACAATGCCCTCAAGCTTCCGTACAATTTTATTCCACCCCTCCTGTTACAAACTTTCCAGATAAAGCTCCCTTGGAATTACCCATTTTACCAATTTATTATGTCACAGTGGTTAATGGTCATTTATACTCCAATGATTTATTTATCCTCAACTGCTGAAGTATCTTTAGATCGATTTGTTTACTGGGAGCAGTTACATGGGATCACTAAATGGTGGGTAATTTCATCTGGTTAGATTTTGATGTTCTCGGCAGCACTTCATAACATTGATGAATTTAACTTGTGTACTCTATCAAACGTTTTCGTGTTACATACCTAACCGATATAGAATAAGGTTAAATATTTGAAATGATTCTTAATCCATCTTCAATAAATAAACAATCATGTTTACCTGATTGTAGTTGATAGTTACAAAATACAAACTACTCACTTTGCTCTAACCTCCGGGTACCGTGAATTTATCGGGGATTTGTGAGCTGCCGCAAAGGCAAAAATACCTGGTCATCTTGAGAGAATTGGGATTAACGACGACAAATGAGATTTGCATACACAACAAAGTGTTGTCCTGTTCCCAAACAGTCTGATACTTCTAAATTGACCATATTATTAAAAATGTTAGTCAATTTGGCTATGTACTTTTCGGTAACAGCCTCTTCAGGGTTTGAATGTAGACAAAAATTCGCTTTGCTCGAATTTTTCTTAGATCCTCTAAGCATCACTTCTTCTGAAAAGCACAGTGAAATAGAGTTATGTGATGGATCTCAAAAATCATCACAAACCATTATGATACTGAAATGTCGTGTAGCTATTTGTCTCAGCGAAAGAATTCTAAACATAAAAACCGCTCTTGTAACTAAAAACCGAGCTATTTTATAACATTCCTTGCTTGAGTAACGTCAATGAATAAGTGGGAAATGGTGTTTGATTGGAAATAGCTGTTTGCGGAAGAGAGAAAAAACAGTCTCGTTAAATTTCGAGAGCGCTTTTAAAAGTCTGCATCTTGAGGTTTCCGTTTGAAGATAGAAGGATCTGTTGATTGGATTTCGCTCCAATCTATTGACGTTTCGATGGGAATGAAATACAGGTAATTATAGTACTCCATCGGCAGCGCTTTTTAGATTATAGAGCAATTTTACTGCTCTAAAAAGGTAAATAAGTTACCTACTGTACGTGGTAAAGATCAAATATTTGGTCTTATATTAAATTTTCATAATACGTACTAATGTATTAAGTACTTCGCAATGGTATCCGACCATGGTGCTGCTGTTTTGTTAATTACTGAATAGGGACAATAAAATGATAAAAGAAAAAATCGAAATTCTTAAAATATGTATAATCCTTACGGCTATGTACTACACCTGTTAATCACGATGCGCTCTGCCTCCAACCTTCTTGCATAGGAGCTACGACGGTTGTTCGAAACTTAAGGTATCCAATGCTTTTTCATATAATAAACATCATTTTATTCCAAATGCGATTGCACATACTTTACAAGCCTTCGCTTCGAATTTTAGCTATTTTTCAAGGTAGTCCTAGTGTCGATCAATTCACTTTTGAAATCGCTCAGGAAGCTTTTTCACACCCGCGTTGTACCACTCTCCGGCCGACTGTCGCAGGAAGTAATCAACACCTGCCTTCAGCACTTATCAGCTTGAGAATTTCATTCCTGACAAGTCTTGCTTGATTGTTCTTTAGTATCTGTGAGTAACTCTAATTGAATCTAAAAATTTCTCACCCTCTTCCCGCTAACGGCGTAGAAACTCGCGAGCACTTTCGACGCGCTTCTTTTTGTATTGATCAGTGTGCATTCGCGACAGGCACCTTGTTATATTTCAAAACCTCCAGTCAAAATATTTTCTAGTCTTAGAAACGCCCCATGTCCGTTCGACAATCTTTTGTACAGTCACACGCCGATCCGCGGGCAGAAACTTTCGCCACTTCCTCGTCCGAAACTGATGGACGCCCGCGATCGGCCTCGTAGTGCTTCTTTTTACGGGCTCCTGAGAATTCTCTATACCACTTACTCACCATTACGTCCATACACATCCGTCAATTATCGATAGATTTTAATAGGGGTTGACCCCTTAAACCACAGAACCACAGACCGCAGTTCACACTTGGCGGGAGCGTCATTTATCCGTTCCATCGTTAAGGGCTGCTAAGCCAATACTAAGCGTTGCACTGAGGTATGGAGCGGCGAGAACAATGATGGGAGAAATTGGCATAAATACTCTTGTGCAATCGATGCCGTAGGAGTAGTGGTAAAATTTTGAATCGACTGCTGCAAACCACTTCTCTACGCCAGATATCACCTGTTGATGTCTTGAAAACTGTTGTTCACAAATGTTCTTTCAATTTCTGAAATCTAAATCACTGAGAGCCAGTTATAGCGAATACGGTGGATCATCTTGCAATTCGACGCCATTTATATCAACATTTCCTTTAGGAAACGTCTCGCAATTCTGGGATCTAGCTTGCATATTAGGTTTATATAATGCTTAACTACAAACACTGATGACACCTCTTTTATAGATACAGCTGGGTAACAAACAAAATTCTTGTTGGCTTGAAAATACTAAAAACCAGTAACATCCTAATAAAGTGATAAGGCGTCATAAAATCACAGAAAGCTTTTCACTTGGGTGTGCGTTAGTGTTTGAGGATAGCAAGGTGAGACAATGGTAATTCTATAATTGCTGTTTATTGTCTCGGTGCTGACTCAAGTCATATCTCTTAAGTTTTAAGTAATTACCACTTCCCAAAATATTCTATCGTGTTCCCTGGCTGAGGTTCCAATTGGGCCATTGCAATGAATTGCAACTTGCTAGAACGAGCACGCGTGCAATTTGCTTTGATCCACTTTATCCGAGTTAGTAGTCAAGGTACGGTTTGACAGTTAAAACACCTGAAAATTATGCTGTGGTTTTCAATGCTGACAAGACTTCATGATTGTCTGATCGTTAAATGTGGCTTAATTTAAGTCAGGATGGGTTCAGTTAAGTTAGAAAATCTGATATTATACATTCTTTGAAAATTTCAAGAGAATCCACCATCTCATTTTTGAAACGCTTGCATGAATGGAAGAATTCCCTGACTGCCTACAATTTCATTCTTTATAAGAAAATCTGAAAGAATATCTGAAATAGTGTCGTATGAAACCTGAGCAGCACTAAATCTGTAGGAATTGCTACATTTGAAGACAATTATTCTATATTCTTATTCAGCTTTAAAACGAATGCACCATAGATTCTGTTAGTTCTACCGCGTGGCGGCACATGTGACAAAATTGTGTTGGAATGAAATTGAAATTTTGTTGCTGTTAAACGTGTTGTGAGACGATGGAATTATTCACAAGAAATTTTGTCTCTGGATTTCTGGATAACCCTACCTTAGATTATGGCAAATGTGGATAGGACCTGTAGAACCTTGTAATAGAATCACGACCTGCATTTTCTGTTTACGATAGATGGAATGTTGTATTGGTCAACCTAAATAAATGAACATCATGCGGAAGCTACTAAAAATTATTCAAATGTAGTTTACATTGGTATTGCAGAATATACATTGCTGACAAGATGTGGCAAAATAAATATTGAACAAAATGAAACATCCCTCGATTTTCCATTGCGCTATCACTTATATCGCAGCTATAGGGAAATAACGCCGTAATTATATAATTTATCATTGAAGCTTTCATAGATGGGTCCATTCTTGACGCGGTTGAGAAAAGGTAATCCGACTTATCGCTGATACTTCCTGGACAGATAGTCTCAAACCCTACTCTCATCGACTGGCGGTCGTTGGCTGGCTCCTTCTACAGGTATGCCGATGGGCAATGCTCCTCTGAAATGCTCTCATCATGTTATTGCATTCGAGACTGCTAAATGGACCCTCCACGCTCCTCATTCTCACTTCTAACTCGGTCAAGCCGATAATCTGGAACAATCTGTCATATTTTGAGGTACCACCTCAAGCATCATATAAACAACCCAAAATTACAAAATCTAGTTCACTTCTCTGGCTATTGCCAAACGATGACAGTCGCAGAGTTATTTCTGACTAGGTAGTTCATAGTGTGCAAATAGTTCATCCCGCGTTTGCTCGCTATGAGTGACGTGAGCATCACCAAAAGCGCCATCTATATAGGAATGAGTCTTGACGGTACGCTCAACGACCATGCTGCAAGTCAGTTCGTCATCATGCTTTGTTGGTTGCAGGATGCCGAGTCTGTAGAGTGTACTTCTGAGAACACGTGACAGAAAGAAAATTGGTTGAGTAGCAAGATCGCATCTGAATGATTGTGTGGCGTTTGAATGTATCGGTCTGCATGTGTATAATATCAGTGATAGTTGCTATGTGTGAAAATTATTACTGAATATGCTGCCCTTAAAGTATACTCGTATCTATTAGCTGTACCAGACGGGTTATTTGTGTTGTCTTTTCTGAAGAGAGGTTTATAAATTACGATTTTCTCCGGATTTGTGTATTCAAAAACTTTGAGAAGCAACTCGGGAAATGACCACCGCACCCGCATTCTGTGTAATTCAGCCAAATCACAGAAAAATTAGGAATGACGCATCACACAAAAAACATTTTCGCAGTGCCACACATCTAGGCGCCGATTTGTATTTTATACTTGACATCGCAAAATAAATCAACAGGTAATAAAAAATAATGTAAAATGTAATAACCTTATCACGTTTCACGAATATTTCTGTCTGTAGTATATTTTCTCACCTGCTAGTTGTAATATACTTCACCAACAAGGGATTTTTTTCTTATCTCTCTCATTTCTGATATCCAGCAAGTTTACATATGTAATTTCCAGGATGAATAAGAAAAAGTCGATGTGCAACTAACATCTAGCTTTGCACACATCTCAAGTAAGTGTATTTGTGAAAAGAAGCCAATGGAATCATTATCAATACAGATTACTAGCACACAAATCTCCACTATGCACTATGCACTGGCGTTTCCTTACAGATATAGTATACAATTATCTCTGACGCAGATTTAATATCATATCAGCGCCAAGCATTGATAGCTAAAGCGTCATGACGTTTATACAACACGTACAGCTACATAACGAGTGCACGTCAAGTGAACAACTGCAAATTCTAAGTTGACATCTTATAGAAACTACATAATGTCAATTTTCAAGATACTTTGCGGGTGTGCGTTAGTGCATTTGTCATGATGTCTGTTGTCTCGCTGTCGACTCAGGTCATACTTTATGGTACCACCCTGAAAAGTTTTGAGAACTTACCACTCCCCAAAATATACTATAAATTTCGCTGACTAAGGTTCCAATTGGGCTATTGCAATGATTCGAACTAGGTAACAAGAGAAAGCTTGTGATTTGTTTTGATCCACTCTATACGAGTCAGCAGTCAAGATATAGTTTGGCAGTTAATGAAACGCCTGATACTGATCATGCAGTTTTTGTTGCTAGTTATACACTAGCCTACGTAGTCAACTAGTTGACGTTTTATCGGTTTTTCTGACATTATATAGGTTTTTTACGTAATAACCCCGCGGCAAGGGTTTTATGTAAAAAACCTAGAAAATAGTCAAAAAAGACCGACGAAATGTCATCTTTCAAACTTGACAGCTTTTAGTGTGCTGATGTACTGACGTTTAAGCAGCACATACAGCTACAAAACGAGTTCGCAACAATTGTACAGCAGCTTGTGCTAATTCTTGTAGAGAAACCTACGTTATGAC